GGGTGAAGTGCAGCAGGGCAGCGCGTCCCCCCCTCCTCGGGGCCGAGCCGGCGCTTGGGGCCACTGCGCTGCCCCGGGATTGAGGGATCAGTGCGGGCAACGAGAGCGGGATGGGGCAAGATGCGGGCGGCTGTCATCCCCGTTGGTTGGGGCCCCGAGCCCCGGCCCCTGGTTAGGCCCACATCCTGCCATTGGCGCTGGGTAGGGGCAGGGATGGGTGGGTGGGTGAGCTCAGGGCCCTCCTTCCTCCAGGACTGCACATCCTGCTCCCGGGTGTCATGCCCGCAGCACCGTCTCACCCTGGGGCTGAGATGCCTGTGATGTGGTGCTCAGTGGTGCTGTGCTGGGGTGGCAGCAGGTCAGCACTGTTCAAGGGGCTGCCTTAACGTGAAGGGGCCCCTTAAGTAGCCATTTCAGTGGGAAAGGAGTTCTTGGGTTTCACAGTGTTACCAGGCCCTGCCCAGACTCTCCTCAAGTTGAAAATAGCAGGAGGGTTTGTTAAGGCCGACTTGTAGCCCTATTACCGTGTACCCTGTGTGGTCACTAGGGTTGGGTTTGGTTTGTAATCTATTCACATGGGTTGGAGAAAGTTCACAACCACCAAACCTTAGTTCTGCTAGATGGGAGTATTTTTAATAAGCTGGTGCCTCAGTATTGCAGCTGAGCAAGCTTGTGTACTGCCAAAGTTGGATGAATACTTAACACTTCCAGCTGAAATCAATCTATGTTGTGCAGCAAAGAAGAGGAGTATTAAGTCTGCATTTTCTTAACAACTTGCAAGGAAAAGGTGAACCAGCCACCTTTTCCTATATGGAGGATGTAATTATTTATTTGTATTTTTAGCAAGCCACTCAATAATGAAAGGTTGAATAAGAACTGGAGGCTAGAATGCTGAATCACACAAGTTCAGTATCTTAGATACATACGCAATTGGAGATATAAAGATATCTGGCAACTGAAAAATGTTAGAGGGTCATCTTATCTGCTATAACGGTTCTTTTTCTTTTGGTATTTGGTTTGTTTAGAACGTTGCCAGAATAAATGAGCTAGGCAGCTGGAGGAAAATGGTATAAACAGTAGACCAGGTGTAAATGTGTTTGTTTGCTTGAGATCAAATGTATTTGGTAAGAAAATGAACAAGGCTACTATTACTAAAGAACATGGGTTTTTCCTTTCTTGTGAAATTGAATTTTAATTGTTTATGATCACTGCATTGGGATTACAAACAAGCAGATTAGTTTGAGTGTATAGCAGAATCATGTAGAAGATAAATGTTTCAGATGGTAACTAAAATACCTGTTGAAAACAGGGTTTTTTTGGTCTGTTCTTACATTTTAGGAGCTGTATAAATGATTGCCTTAGATGTCATTTATATTTTAGACTGCATGACTTTTCACATCTTATATTTATGTGCAGTGCAAAAGAATAAAAAATAATTTTGGATATTCATTTTCTGGTCAGTCTTTTCAGCATAATTTTGAGGTAGTCAGATGAAATAATGTTTTGGGGGGAAAATGTTGAATTTGAGTATTTCAATCACATGTAGTCAAGAGGTTTTTTTTGGTTTTTTTAAGAATAATAATTACTGTAATGTTAGGTTGGTCTGGAGGGGGAGCTAGTGCCAAAGCAAAGTATAATTTAATTTATGCTAGAACCATTCAAAAGCCTGCAGATCTATTTCCAGTTTGATCATGGAATTTACCTCTACTACAATAAGGGAAAAACGTGTAGATGGTGCATATCATGCGTGAATGTTTAACATGTTATATCTGTATCAAGGTAGATTTTACATAATATATAAACAGTGATACATGCACACTATATTTATATAATACGTATGCATTGCTCTGTATTTATATTATGCACCAAAACTTTGTTGAGAGAACATTAAGGCTGCAAAGTTAAGTGCTAATGGTTGTTTGTGCATCTTAATTTGGTCCCTTGTGTGTATGCATTGTGATGCAGTTACATTATTGCATACTCTTTTTTTTCCCCCACAGAATGCGCAACCTGATTCAAGGCACAACCTGAGACCTGGGCTGGGGCTGAGTCAGGGCTGTGTAGTAAGGAACCTTGTCTGTAGGAATCCTGCTTTATTTGTTGTGGAAATTGGAAGGTGTGTAATGAATAAGGCAAGGTTTTTCACAGGAAGAGAGAGACAGTTGAATGCTGCTTTGATTCTGTGCCTGCCTTTGCCAGGAATTCCTGTGTGATGCTAAGCAAGTCACTTAAACCATTGTTGCTAATCATGTGTTCCTTATTTTCTGGGTGCCAGACTTGGGCTGATTTGCAGAACTGCTGAGCTTTCACAGCTGCACTTGTTGATGTGAGCTGTGCTTTGAACATGTAAAGGGCTACATAAAGCTAAGTACTCTAAAAATTCAGGTTCTAGGTATCTTAAATTGGGCAATCAACATTAGCAGGGGCTTCTGACCCTAATCTCTTTGCTTCTATTTCCCCCTCTCATGGTACTGTGGTGAAAATAAATTAATGTTTGGTGAAGTACTTTATAGTAGTCAAATTGCCAGACATTAGGAGTAGGCTTTGACTAATATGTAATAAAGAAAGAATGAAGCCACATGTTCAGTAAATAGGAGAATGTTGAATTGCTGCTTTACGTGAGCACTGTCCATCTTATAGACCAAGGGTTTTCAACCTTTTTGGAGCAGTGTACCCCTGGCGGCCACGCGTGTGCGGGGGGAGGGTTTCTGCATCCAAATGGAGCTTGGCAGCAGGTGCCACATGCGAGCTTCCCCTGCGTCCAGGTGGACAGGCCTGTTCAGCAGCGCGGGATGGTGTGTGGTGTCACTTTGTCCCTGTACGGACCCCCAGGACCTTCTCAAGTACTCCTGGGGGGAATGTGTACCCTTGGTTGACAACCCCTGTAGACTAAATAAGGCAGTATGGAAGAAAGAGCATGCGATCATCACGTAATAAACTGTATATTCACAAAAGGCCAAATAGCGACTGCACAGAGATCCTTGATTCTGGCATTTTGCAACTTTTGAGTGCACGTCATCTGCAATTTGTGTGCGTTTGACAGTTTTGTGTGCACATGTGACTTACTAGTTTAAAAAAAATGAAATTGGAAGTGGGAAGGGCAGAGAGAGAATGGAAAGTCTGTGGTATGTCACTATATGTCACTGCTTGAGCCATTAGCAGGATAGGTGTTTTTAGGTTTAACGCAAAATTTGCCACTTGAGTTAATGAAGTAATGGATAGCAGCAATAGGATATCATCCTCTATCTTGCCATTAATACAGTGGGATGAGTAATGCAATTTGCCAGTGGATTTCATGGATATTGCTGATGGCAGAAGAATACTGAGATTCAGGAATCTTGCATTTAATTCCAGGCTCTGGGATTTTACTTGCATGCTCTGGGAATTAACTCTTCTGTTTGATCTCTCTATGGTAGGGACCCTTTTTATTCTGTCCTCTCCAGTCTGCTGCTGTCTAAGCCTTTTCTCTTCTGTACTCTTGGGTTCTTGTCCTTTTCCACTTCCTTACTCCTCAAGCTGCTTTGCCACTCTGCATGTCTACCCAGCAAGCCCTACTTTCATCCCTTTTGACTCATACAACTGCTAGTCCCCTCATCATCATTTCCAGTCCCTGCCCACTAGCCTCTCTCCCAAGGCAACCTCAGGTTCCTGCTTATGATGACTTTTCATGCCTTTTGTTTCTCTTCCTCGCCTGTCATGGCCACAAGTGGCCCCCACATGCTTTTTGTTCTCCTGGTCTTTTTGCCTCCTGAGCTCCCACTCTCTATTTTAATACCCTATTGTTTCACTGCATTTGCTTGTCCTAGTCTCTGCCTTCTCATTAGATTTGTCTGCTTCCCTTTTCTTTTCTTTTAAGTCTTAGTCTCTTAACTCACTGTTTGATCTCAGTCTCTCCCTTCCTACTTACTGGCCCCTAGTCCTTTGTTTTTTGGCTCCCAATATCTACTTCTATCCTCCCACTAATACTTTTGGCTTCTGCTTCCCAACTCTCCTTGTCCAACTAATTTGTCCTACTGGTCTAGCTTTTGTAGTCTAGGTTAGAGCATTGTCAGTGCAGACAGAATCTTTAGGTAATTCAGCTGTCAGAGGAAAGATGTTGCTATTGAGCATGTGCAAACTTTTTTTTTCCTTGAGGGGAAATTGGAGTGGCACATCTGTGATACATGCCAGATTATATCTATTCAAAAGCATGAAGATGCTAGAGATTTTCAAAGAGAAAGTAACTTAACATGATCAAAACAACTTTTTTTCTGTAACCTTGTTCTCAGAAAAGGCCAAACTGATTTGGTTGGAAAATATTCAGCTTGAATGATTAAAGTTTGGCAAAGTTTTATAAATAACAGAAAACTATTTTATTATTAGGAAGTGTATGGTAGCCTTAATAACAGTCAGTGGTAGTCGCCCTATCTGTAATATGGATAGTTATGTAAATTTTAGGATATAGGGCATATATAATGTATTACTGCAACTTTTAAAGGTGATACTTTATTTTCTGATTGTGTAATACTGTTGAACTCCTAATTCTGAGTTAAAAATAAATTACCATTTTAAAACTAATATACTAGTCCCAGTATTTAAAATGTTGTGATACCTTACTAATAATCGTAAATTAAAAGGAGCATAGTAACAGAACTGGAAGGGAAGGAGAGGCTGTTTCCATGCTGGTAGACCGCTGTACTTCTTTTTTTTTCTTTTTTTTTTTTAAATCTCTAGCCTCAAGCCTTCAAATTATATCCATGCCTAAGGCACAGCTCTGGAGTTTAAATGATTGTCAGAAGATTGTCATACCAGCTGCCAGTTACCAGTATTTTAGAATTACCCTGAACTAAAAGTTGTAACCCCAAGACTGGCTGGGAAAACATAAATCCTAGTGTTAATCCGAAAGTAGTTTTTTTGGGTGAGGCGGGGGGTTGGGTTTTTTTCCTTGCAACAAAGCATAGTGAATTACTAGATGATATACCAGTTTTTACTCTGTGCCTTCAAAAGGGGCTAGTATTATAATGTACTCTATGTAGTTCACAAGTTTATGTATATAAAGGGTTCAAAATGGAATACTTCATAGCTGATTAGAGTTATATACAACAATTTACAGCACTAGAATTTGTGAAGTCTATACTTAAAGAAACTTTCCTGTGATGCGTCCTCAGAAAAATATTAGTATTCTTCCAAAAACTAGAGTTACTGTTTTATGACATACATTATGTCTGCTTGGTAACTTTGTTGATAAGGGAAAAGTATTTCCAATCTTTCTCTCATTTTTTTTTTTTTATTTTTAAGTGTAGCTTCTGTAGGGGAATTCATAGTGAAGGCTATGTGACTTTGTTAAATCTACAGGGCAAGGGGGGAAAGCTTTTCTTAAAGCTTTTATTATAAATACCTTGTTCTAGCTATTCTGATATGGTTGTCATCTATGTAATCTTTTCTCCTCAGAGCATCTTGCTTTTCTTTGTATTCTTTGTATATATGTGTAACAATACTGTTCTAGCAATATTTCAACAATTTGTTTTTATTTTGTCAAATTACTTGGGCTAAACACTTTCACAGTTTTGTTGGAACTCATACTGTAACAAAGTAATATTTTTACAGTGTAAATAGTGACTGTCCTTGGACTCTTTCACATTCACAAACTTAACATATGTGATTACAGTCAGGTCCACTCATGTCTGCATACTTCGCTTAATCACACAACTCAAAGCAGGTTCCAGTTATTTGCCTGTTGCTTACATAATATCAACTATTTGAGATCTGCATATAAATGCATAAACTGAATAGCGGTTTTTTCATCCCTTTGTCTGCATTTTACTGTATTTGGATTTGGTTTAGTTGCATAATAATTGATGCAAGAAAAGAGTGAAGGTGAAGCACCTGTCAAAGGGCTGCTAATAGAAGCCTTGAAAATGATTAGAGCTGGTCAGTTTTCCTGTTGCTAATACCATAATGTTAACAGTAATTGAAGTGGGTTATTTTGTACTTAATGGTCATAGCTTACTTTGAATTTAGGTAAATATGTAGTCTTTTTTTTCAGTTCTAAGGCTATGTACTTAAACCATGTATTTGGTATGTGTGTACATGTGCGCAACCACACTTCTGTTATACAGCATGTATAAAAATATTGGAAAAAGGTTTTATGTATCAGTCAATAAATAGCATGAGCTACATGTATGAGGTGTGTGCTTTAGGCTTTATCTTTTTTAACTAATGTTTGCTCTTACTCTATAAAATGGAGTAATTGGGTGTATAAGTCTTCAAATACTTCTCTAATAGGATCAGAATACATCTGCTGTGAAGTGAATAGCCTGATTCTGTGTACCAACTCTTGGACATTCATTATACCACTGCCAAGCTGTGACCCTTTGGAAAACCAGATTGTGTACACATGCTTTTGTGTTCCTGTTAGTGGAAAAAGCATTTACTTGGTGCGTTAAATTTATAGTAACTTTCTTCTTCAAATACAAATATTTGAAGAAGAAAGTTACTGTAATTTAATGCACTTTGTGCTTGGTAAGCACAAAGAGACATCAGTTGAACAAGAAGGAAGTGACTTTGCAAGAATATGATAATTTATTGAAACTGCTATGGCTCTGGAAGGTTTCCTTTTACTTTCTGCCCTTTTAGATTTGTCATCTACGCTAGTAAGACATATGCTTGAAAAATAAAAATATTGATGCAAATGTGCCTACTGAACTTGGAGAGGATTGAAGAGATTTGGGATATTAGCTATACATTTATGGCTAGATATGGTTGATGTGATACTGAGTAGTAGTGAAAGAATTACACTAAGATTATTTTTCTTAATTTTCCCATCATGTGTGGTAGTGGAAACAACCATATTAGAATTAGTAGTTTGTCTAGGCAAGTAGATTTAACCAGTAGTGACTGGTAGCAGCTGCTGCAGAGGAAGGGACCAAGGTCCCTGTGACAGGTTATTATGTAACTACCTGGAGGGGAAACTTCTTCCAACTTCACTAATAGTTACAGTAATTCCATTTTTATAACTATTAGTTTCAAAATACTGGATATTGTATTACTAAATACTGAATAACCTCTGGTATTTCAAATGAGGTTACACATTAAGTTTATCAACTAGCATAATTTCAGTGTTTTCCATTTCTTTTT